CTTGTTTCTTGCCTTTTTTTTTATATGTAACCAATTTCAGCAGTGCGGGCCGCTTGGCCCGATATCGGCCCGCGCGGCCCGAGTCTTCACCCAACTGTTGGCCCAGTTCAAGCCCGCGATCCTGCAGGCCTTAGGTGCGGCCCAATTTCGTTGGAGCCAGGTCCAATTTCGGGCAGTTGCAGCCCAATTCGACTTTTAACCAAAAATTTTGTGTTCCGGATCCCGTTTTAATACCGATTTAAATTTTAAAAATATTTTAAAAATGAGAAAAATTTTGGGAAAATTATTTTAAGTTCCGAGACCCCAATTTACTTCTCCGAGTCATATTTTTAAAAAATGAGAGAGAGTTCTAAGTCCACGAAAAATCCGATTAAAACCCGTAAATCTTAATTTTTATTAAGTATGGGTTTTATGTTAAAATTGAGTAGTGAGATAAATTATTGATAAATTATCTCGCTTAAATGTAGGTGTTTGAGGAGTCGAGCCTCATCCTACGTGCTTGCTTTTGTGTGCCATTTTCTACCGAAAATTCCAGGTGGGTTGTAATTGTAAAATTTACTATGCCTTAAATGTTATTGCTGTTTTATTTGTGGTATGATCAAAGTATGCATGTGAATCATGTAGCCTTCGGTGTGAGCTGTATCGGCCACCGGACGGTTGTCCCCGTAGCTATAGAACGTACCTTCGGGTAGTCTCCCTTGAGAAGCCGTAAGACCAGGGCTTAGGTCCCTCGGCCGGTGATCCTCATTGGTAAGTCCAAGGCAAGACCTTGGCCGGTGGGGTGGTTTACTCCTACTGGCTGGCACTCGATGTAGGACCGGAGGGCATTCGATATATAGTCAGCAGTAGTCTATGCGTAGGTGTGCACATGAGTCTGATTATTGTGATTATTGATGGGAGAATGGGATAGATTATTGTTTCGTATACATGCTGAGACCATACCTTTTGATTATTGATTACTGTTGATTGTTGACATTAATATTTATGGCATAGCGGTGAGCACTACTGTTTCTTATTGTGCTCATCCCCACCTGCTCTTCATGGATGCAGGTTAGATAGAGCGGCACGACGGAGGGGATGCGAGTGGTGGTCTTTGATTTGAATAAATGCTTCCGCTTTGAACTGAATTTGGATATTATTGCATTATTATTGACTGTTGTTTTCTAGTATTGGATTATTGATAGGGATTATTTCTCTAGGATCATTATTGGATTATTGATTGATTATTGGAATTTTCTTATTGATTATGAGTATCGATAATTGCCGAATATTGAGAAAATGTCGAGTATTGATTATTGATTTGAAAATGAGTAGCGCCCCGAATATTGTTTTTGAAATAAATTCGAAAAATTTATTCTGATTTTCGGTAAATAAAAGTGGGGTGTTACAGACGACATGTATTAATTAATAGATTCTACGATATCGAGTGTTGGCGCAAGTATAGCTCTATCCTTCAAGTAACTTGGATCGTCAATTGCATTCTTGAACATCGGAAATGTACTTTCAACAATTTTTGCAACTGGATCATTGGATGGCTCTAGTTATTGATCATTTGGTATGTCTATCGGAGAACATCCATCATTTTTACCCCTCAATGTACTCCAATGCTTGCTATCCAATCAGCAAAAGCGGCCAACTCGTCATGTTCATTCGAATCACCAATGCTCTGAAGACGCATATTCTTTGAAAGCCTAAGCACAGTACATTCTCCCTAAATGCTATAAGAGTTAATAGCAACATTAACAATCTCCTGACGACTACCCTTTGGAACTACTGGAAGGATTTGTAGAAAGTCTCCACCAAACACAACAGTCTTGCCTCCGAACGATTAATGATGGTTTGTCGAGTCGAGGGCTCCCATTACTGTTTAAAAGATGCTTTAACATCTTCAAAACAATGTTTATGCATCGTTGGGACCTCATCCCATATGATTAATGAAGAGCGAATAATCAACTCAGCAAGGGGGCTAGCCTGATTGATCTCACACGTGTTGGAACCCACGAGGATCTCGATATGCACAAATCACAGACAAACATTCAACAC